GACGACATTCCCATCTTCCCCCTCCTCTTCGTCTATCCCCTTCCTCCTCGTCTGTGCATGTTCTGGGCTGGCGCTGTCTTCCTGTGTGAAGCGCCAGACCCATTCACACTATGAAACGATGATGATGATGTATGTTCAGGGCTGCATTACAACATTGATTGTTCGGATCACTGGTATCTAAGTCTTCCGCTGTGCTATCTTATACCTTGTATTGAAAGGTCGGTTCTTGTTCTGGTCTGCACCTATACGGTATGCAACATCTGTTTACAAGCATAGGTTATTCTTAGCGTCGAACTTCCTAATAGCCGAGGCAGAAATATTATTAACAGCAACTGTGTAATGACTGAATAGGGTTCACCATTAGCTGTAGTTGGAATATCATTTTTTGAGTGGAACCTGCATGAGTGGAACCCATCACTAATAATACGGTGTCTACTAGAGAGAGATTTATCAACAATGGTTTGCTCTGTGCAGTACTTAGACAGAAAATTATCGTCGGCCCTGAACCGCGCAGTACCTAGACAGGAATCATCACGGGCGCTAAGTTGTGTAGAACTCAAGCGAGGATTACTGTGGTCTGTGTCTGGTGCTGTAATCTAACGGAGGTTATAGGGAGTAGTGTTTTGCACTGCACATAGACAGGAACTGTACTCAACTCTGACCTACACAGTGGACAAAAGGTATATATGCTTGGAGACACCTAATGTGATGAGTGAGAAGAGGGCACGACTCTTACTCGTTGGGGATCAGGTTCGCAGATCAGAAAATAGAGGAACTATCTGGCTCTGACTTGGACTCGCAGACTCAGGCAAAGTGAGGCTGGGATCGGACTCAGATGAGTCGAGGGACAGAGGTCGTGAGGTATTTCAGAAATTATGTCTGTTTGTTATCTAATAGACTATACTCGATAAACTGTCGGCTGCCTTGATTCTAAGAAAAATACAGCCTATATAACGTTAGTAAGCCCAACATTTATGCAAGCATCCTTGAGCTCAAAAGGAAAAGATTAACAGTAGGCAGTGGAGAAATTCAACAGCATGCAACCAGGTGAGGGAACAGAGTGTGTAAAACTAGCAAGAGTGGTGGGTTGCTGGTCACTAGAAGAAAAAGTGGACCGTCTGAGGGACACAAAGATTTTTGTAATAAGATGCAGAATCAAGAAAGATAAATACGATGGATGGGAAATGGAAACTGCTCAAGACATGGAGTTTCACAAACTAGTTCCAAGAGAGCGAGCAGTCCAGAGAATCGGGGGAAAAAAATACATTGAATATGTTTTCTACTTCCATGATTGCAATGGCAAACTGCACAGTACCGACTCATCTCTAGAGACAGTTGAGCAGGCCTGGGCGAAGCTCAAGTGAAAGCAGTCACTCTCAATTTTTTTTCCTATCAGTGAACCATTCAACAAGTACCATCCAGTGATTCAGAACGTTTCTCAACATCCAGCTGTCGTTGGTCAGCAATCAGTGGCAATGTGTCAAGTATTGTGCATGGTCATTGCTTCAATTTTGCCCTCCTGACTCACATCAACCCTCGCTGATTAACCGAAAGGGGCGTAATTCATTACCCTAAACAATACCAAAACATGTCTGTTCTTGTGCTAAGACAATTTCCGATAGCGCCTAGGTAAGTTATAATGAGACCAACAGAAACTACTTTTCATGCGAAACAATTGAAGTAGCAGATCGTGGTGCTCCTATTGCTGGTCAACCCCTTCTGGTCAATATTTGCTATCCAAACTTTGCTGGTCGACCCTTGATGGGCAATCCTTGATGGTCAACCCGTGCTGGCAGTTCGTTTCTGCTAGAGATAAGATTATGCTGTCTTTTTTTGCTGAGAACACTGAATCAGTGACCAAGACATTGTCATGACTCATTGATGTCCTGCCTGGCACCTGCTTTGGGATCCTTGTGCCTGAGGAAGACTGTCCAATCTGGCTAACCTAGCAGATCCATAGTCAATGAGGCTGAAGTCTCTCTCATACCCTTTAACACTTGCAAACAAGTGACTGGGAAGTCCTGAAGGGACTGAGCCTGAAATCTCTCACCTTAAATCCTAAACCCAAAGCCTTAATTTTTAAACACTAAACACTGAACCTTGAGCCCTCAACCGTGAACCGTAAACCCTAAACCCAAAACTGGGTGGACAAGAATCCAGGCTAACACATGTGTTGTGACTGGACAGGACGCCGCGTAATCCATACAACACCAGCAGATATACAGGTGGATCTTCCTCAGGCTCAGCTGCTGTTGTGAGTGCAGGGCTCGTGCCGGCAGCGTTAGGAGCTGATGCTGGAGGTCAGTGGTTCCATTCTACCCTTTCTGATGTAGGCTTCAAGGAGAGAAGATGAGAGCACCTCATTCATGCCTATTGTACACCTTCACTCTTCATGCATCCACTGGATATGATCTCATCCCCTTGTCAGGAAAACCGTCTATCTTCCCAGCCCATGTGACTGAATGCTATGCAACCTTAACTGTGTATAAACATTAAAGGAACCAATTAATGGGAACACAAATCTTCCGAGCAGCAAAAGACTCAAAGCAGGACAAACATATGTGAGCGAAATGAGAACACACTGAAGCCTACTGATAAAGAAAGCCCAATTTCTCGCCATCATTCATCAATACGACCACAACGTAGCAGTTCTACTATGATGTGACTGCCTATATGCATGTGGTATGCACGCATTCCAGCAGCATGGGTTAGGGGTTTAGGGGTTGTGCTCTCCCTCTTTCGGGGTAGTCTGCATTTAGAGGGTTCCGTTTGGGTTCCCAGTCATTCACCAGTCTCTTTTTCTCTACTCTGGGCACCAGTTCCTTCCCGTTAGGTTCAGTTTGGCGCCAGTCCCTTTTTCCTTCAGTCTGGGCGCCAGTTCTCAGTTTAGTTGGGTGCCAGTTCTCAGTTCAGTTCGGCGCCAGTTCTCAGTTCAGTTGGGTGCCAGTCCCCCTTTCATTCAGTCCAGTCTATCTAGCACCATTCTGGGGGCCAATACAGGCCCAGCGGCCGTTCCTGTAGGCCTGGCTCACGAGGCTGCATTTGGGTGCCAGTTTGCATGTTAGGTTTTTTTTTTTTTTTTTTTTTGATAACAACAGAACCTCTCGGTTCTGGCTCCTACCATTCTGGGGAGCAACAGTCCGGTTCCTATTCCCCTGGCAAGTCAAGGATGATACAAAGTTAACCACGCATGCTCCTCCCCATTATGGTTGGGAGACCCAAGTGGACGGCATTGATTACTTCCTTTAGGGAAGGATGTACCGCCCCTTACCCCTGCCTAAGTTAGCCTGCATGACTTAGTTTCTGGGTATTGGGGATAAGCTGTTTTCTGCTAATTCTGATTGAAGCACTTGACTGTAAAATGAGGCTCAACTAGCTTACTCTTCTCAGCTATTCGGCTGCCTGATCAGATTTAAGTTGTGGAGTCGCTAGCCTGCCCTGTTTACTGACTGGTTTGCAAGCTAGATGTGGCTACCGGGTCTATTTGTCTCTGTGGGTCTGTTCAGACTTGTATTCCTAAAACCCTAAACCCTATTTTTTATCCTTCTCTGCCTCTCCGTCTATCTTCTCGAATTAAGGCTGATCCGTGCTATTCTCTATTTGAAGCGTCTCTACTGAGTTGGCCTGATCTATTTGGTCTAGTCCTTACTCCTCGGGGTGTTGGGTTCCGTGGGGTGGTTGGTATTGCCCGTACTTACCTTTATTAGTTGCCTGCTAGAAGTCTGGCATCTAGCTCGGTTAGTCGGGGAGATTAGGTTGACGTTTGGCGCTAAGTTGTTAGTGTATGGGGGTTGTCATAGGTGTCCGAAGTCGAAGAAGAGGATAGCTGCATTCATTTTTTTATCTTGGATGTATCTTACGGATTCGGCTAGAGTCATTACATTGTCTAGGATAAATCTACCCGGGATGAAGCTTGTTTGGTCTATGTGAAAACAGTTTTTGTGATTTTCCTTATTCTATTTGTTAACAATTTGGCTAAGATTTTGTACGCTACTGCTAGAAGGGTGATAGGTCTGTAGTTCTCGATGTTGGTGGGGTCTCCCTTCTTGTAGAGTAGCGTGACTATACCTGTACTTAAAAGGGGTCCTAACTCTTCCTTATCCCATGCCTTCTTGATAAAGTTACTGAATTTTTCCACTAGAAGGAACCAATATGCCTGACAAAACTCTTTGGAAAGTCCAACTATTCCTGGTGTTTTCCTTGGTTTCATGGCATCCAATGCTTTTGTTAGTTCTTCGTTGGTGATTGATTGGTCCAACTCTTCAGCCATGCTGGGGGAGATTGTCTTATCCAGGTGCTTACAATTTTTTTCCCTAGCTTGTAGGACTGACCTAGGTAGGAGTGGGGCTTTTGGTCTTAGATGAGTATAGTGCCTTGTAAAAGGATTCTGCTATAGCGAGCATTTTGGTTGGGTTTGACGACGGACCTTCCTCGTCTCTTAACTGTTGTATGGCTGAGTTTCTTCCTCTAGATTTGATTTTTTGAAAAAAGAACTTGGTCGTTTTTTCGCCTTCTTCTCATTCTTGAATTCTTGCTCTTAGTCCCGGTCCATTCGCTCTCCAAGCATTCCTGTTAGCCAGTTCTGATCGGGCTCTTGCTAATAGTTCCTCGTAAGAATAGACTCGCGGGTTGATTATGATGTTTGTTTGTGCGAGGCTTACTGCTGCTTCTAGTTCTCTTATACGTTGATTTCTTTTGGCTGCTAGCTTTCTAGAGACTGCTGATACGGTTTGGACAAGCTGTTCACTAAGGATGGGAAGTTTAATACTTCCTTCTCTGAATCTATGCGTGCCTGCACTATTCCTTCTTTCATTTCCATACTGTTTAGTATAGAGTTATTAATCTTGAAGAAGCCTGGGCCTTTTTGTATTCCTGGGTCGAAGAGAAAGTCTATAAATAGTGGGTTGTGATCTAAGCCACTATGGTAGGGTAGTTTTTATATTCCTATGTTGAGGACCGTTCCTTTGAGGGAGTCAGATACTAGGAAATAGTCTATAGCAGAGCTTGAGATGTGTTGGGTTCTATTTCTTTTTCTGTATGGTATTCTACGTGTCTCTAAGTGAAGTGTTATGAGTGGTTCTATTAGGTTCCTTTCTATCATTAAGGTGTGCGTTACCTGGGCTTCTACTTGGAGTGAGGAGTCGCGGTCTCTTTGTGAGCATGAGAGTTTGTCCCTATCTGGATCTAGAGTGGTGTTCCAATCGCCTACTAGGACTATGTGTTGTTGATCCTCACAGATAAACTCCCGTCTATGAGGGAGGTCGTTAGGGGCGTAGGCATTTATTAATTGGAATGATTCTTCCCTGTAGTTGAAATGGACTTACCGTACGTTTACTTGGTATAGTCTTCTCCCTACCATCTGAATTAGGTTGGCCGCTCTTGATTTTTGGTGCCATAGGATTGTTGTTCTTGCTTACCCTGTTCTTGGAGAGGGGGCCCAAAGACCTAAACGTACATGCTTTAGTCTGGCTGTAATTCTGTTGATTATGGCTTTGTTTTCTGGAGAGTCTGACAAGTGTGTTTCTTGAAGGCAGACTATGTCGGGTGGGTTTCTTGTGAACCAGTTCATGTGGCTAACCATATTGTCTCATTTTTCTGTTTTGGTTAATATTGTTGCTAGCCCGTTAACGTTCCATGACAACACTGGCAATTCAGGCTCTTTATGTTTGACATAATAATGCTTGAACTGACGCCCCCCTTGGTCGCCCCCGGACCGGGGTTGTGTCGTCATGGGATGTTAAATGGGCAGAAATGCTTGGGCTTGATTCATTTGAGGTTTAGTTGAAAAGGGACTCGTTGTAGGGAGCGAGGCGGATCTTGACCTGACGAGCCTTTGCTTCCAGGATCGGGTTCAGATGGTCTTCCTTGCCATCAAAAATTGTAAGGCCTTCAACTATTAATGTTGAGACTGCAGCTCTTTCTGCAGAAATTTCTCCTCCCATGATGCCATAGGGAATTGTATACAACACCTGCCATGGTTTCCAGACAATGTGGTCCATGAGTTGGGCTTCCATTGAGTAGCGGACCATGTAGGACCTCAAATCACTGACCGCGATGTCCCCTGCCTCATTCAGCCACTCCTCCCTCCAGTCTTCCTTTGATCCCAGAATGTGAGCTGCTACTGGTGCGTCTTTGGAAATGTTGGCAGCTAGAACCTTGTTGGATGGGTTGGCCAAGGCTATGAGAGACCATGATTTGACCACAGCGACCTCCCAATCTACATGCTCCTTGTTCTAGCGGTAGGTAGGGTAGTACTTTATTTTTGCACCCCCCCTTGGCTTCCAACCTGGCTGTTGTGAGGATTTCTGCGTTCTGTCCCAACGCTAGCCCTTGCAGATTGACAGTGTCGTCAGCTGTTTCTCTGTTGTGATCTCTAAGGACTGTGATCTGTGCGTGTAGGATTTCCTTTTGTCTATCTAGATCGTCTCTTGTGGTCAAGTGGATCTCTTCACCCCCAGTTTCTTTGACCTGGGACGGACGAGCTAGATTTTTTTGTTCTCTCCCTTTCGCTCTCTTTGCTTTCTTGCTTGGGTGGATGTTGTCCGGTTTTGTGTACATCTTTGGCCATTGGATTGAAATCTGTGCGGTTGCCATTTGCCCCCCTGTTTGGTCCAATCTCTGTTTGTACAGTTCTGCAAAGAAGTCGGTCAATTCCGGTTCCTTTTCCAGTATTTCGTACTGGTTTTGGGTTGGGATTTGGCTGATGGGGTCAGCTTGATTAAAGGAGAAGTTTTGCAGATTAAGGAGGTATCTTTTGTGACCCACACGGACTTCAAATTCGACTTCCCTTTCTCTTTCAAGTCCCTTGACATAGTCGTTAAGCTATTGGAGTGAGTTTTCTTTGCCTCCCTCTTCGTGCTCATCTGGTTGTTCATCTTGCGGGTTTGTGTCTTCCCCTTTGGAGTCTTGGGACATCCTGTCTTCCTCTTCTTCACTTGTCAGCTCGTTGGTTTTGTTTGTCTGTCCTTCTGTTGTGCCTTCCTTCCCCTTTTCTCCTCCTTCCTCGATCATTGAGTCTTTGTTGTCATCTTCGTTCTCCATCTCTGTTTTCTTTGTGTCTTCTTGGTCCTCTTCTTGAGTGTCTGCCTCCATTTGGTCTGTTGTGGAGGTAGTCTCGTCGATTCTGCTTTCCTTACTGGTGGTTTGGCTGTTTGCTGATTGGGTTGGGGAAGCTTGATCGGCCTTCCGTTTGAGAGGTTTGTCTGTGGTATCTGTGGAATGGTTCCCCTTTATGCAGGCATCTTTCTATTTTTCCTTTTGAGCATTCTCTCTTTGAGCCTTTTCTGCGCACAACACCTTT